AGCACGGACCCGGCATCATTGCCTTTGCAGGAGTCGGTATAGCAGAATCCATGTTTGCTTATTGGGGAACCTGGGCATGATCCGCATGTCCACGAATTCTGATGCATGAGTTTTCAGTTTTGCAAAATTTCAATTCCTCAATTCCGTGATGCGCGTGTTTGCACTTGACCCATTTTGAATCTCAAGAAATATGTGTCTGCCTCCGCAGCCACTTTCGGTTTACAACCAATCCGACCTTTGCAATCTTGTATGCTCGATCATCTCGTTGACATGCCCATCCTCAACCTGATGTTTGGACGATCCGGCGATGCGGCACCTGTGCCAAAGCCGATGATCAAGAGACGGGCGTCACCATTGAAGGAATCCCCTGCTCGTGATGAGGAAGATGAGACATCCGATTGCCCCATGGAGCAAGTCGCTGATGAGAATCCATCCGCCTCTCAACAACCCGAGAATGTCAACATGGAGCAGGTTGATTATGATCCAGATTCCGACGACGATGATTCCGATGAAGAAGGGCATCCTCTCGAAGGAAGGCCCCTGTCAAAGGCGATGCCACATCCGAAACTTGTTCCAAAGTCACCGCCGCCGACACTGAGTCTTGTCTCCAAGGTCAAGCCAGCACCAAAGAACACCCTGGATGACGAGACGGAATCCGACAATCATCCTGGTGATCGACCTGCACTTCCAAGGCGACCAGTGATGCGGCCTGTTCTCACATCCAACGATCGGTGGTTTGTAACATATGGATCGGATACGGACATCAGCCTCCAGAAGGAATCCGTGCACCCAGGACTCAAAATTCCTGACTTTTGTGCACGAGTACTACAAGGAATGCTCAACCTTCCTTGATGTCAATCCGGATTTCCACTTCGTTCCTGAACACGAGAGACCGCATGGAGTTAAGGTATTCTGGTTGAAGGCAAGATTCAACGATTACTGGCATCCAACACTCCAAGGTGAAGGACCTCATGCAGAGAAGCAATACATGGACTTCATCAAGAAGGTCTACAGCATTTGCTGCTACAGCAATGCTCAATCCGAAGTTTACGGAACCGACATCATCCCGATGGTATGCCACAACGGCAACATTGATCTCGATAAGACCGTCCAGAATGTCGAACAGGTTTGCAAATATTTCCGCATTGAAACATCCAAGGCGAAACAGATCACAGATCTCATCCTCTGGCGAATTGAGAGAATGAGCAGATCGTTTTCCGAATGTCTTCGACATGATCCAAGGCATGGAATCCATAAGGAATGCAAACGGCAGGTGAAAATGGGTCCTGATGGATCCGTCGAGCTCTATGACGCATTGACCTGCATCACACATGCCAGGAACTTCATTGGAAACAAGCCAGGACTTCTCTTGATGGCTATGTTCCCGAGCTATGGAAAATCACGTTTCGAAATTGCGTTCGTATTTCCATCCGTGGACGGGACATATAAAGAGCGCAAGGCACGGGGAGAAATTGTTCCAAGGAATCGATGGATCGACAAGCTCAACACCAGATCCGCACAAAGTGCACTCAGGCCCGATGGCAAGGACTTCTATGTTGATCCTGAGATGGAGTTCTATGTGAGATGCAACAGCGGACACACACGACAAGTCGATATCCAATCCTTTGGACGACCCCTGTTCTCTGAGCAGAAGGAGCCTCATTACGACGAACCGGACTATGATTTGCCAACGGAACCCATTCCGCCAAGTCCGCATCCGTCAAGATCCGAGGCGCCTCATGGAGATGAAAGCACAGCTCAGCCCAAGTACAGAACGCGAAGGCCGGCACCACCATCCATTGAAGAAGAGAGAAAGATCAAGCCGTTCTCGAAGAAGCCCATCACATTCATGTTCCATGCAACCTATGGAAGTCAGCTCTACAGCATCATGGAGCAAGGGCTCAAATCTGGGAAGTCCCAGACAAACCCTTCGGGGAGAATGCACGTTAACACATGGCATGCATCGATGACGTCATCCTCGAAGACGACGATTCTGAAACCGCATTGACCCATGTGCCAGCAGGAAGAGATGCGTTGCTGATCCTTGCATTTCTCAAGGACCAAGACTATGGCATCCGCCTTTCCGAAGAGAGATTGACAGACAAAACCATCGAGGCAAGAAACACTGTTGCAGCAATCGAACCTGATGGCAGCCTCATGGCGAGCAACAAGTGGATCATGAAGAAGTATCTCGATCATGAAGATTACGAGATGTACGACACCAAGATCCGCGAATTCGCCGATGCCTTCTTCACGTATGTGAATTCCACCAAGCACAACAAGGAAAAAGATACCTCCTCAGAGACCAAGAAGAGACGGCATTCCACCGATCAGGGCTCCACCGAAGGAGAAATGATGGCACCCTCCGGGGAAAGATCCGTCAAGCCCAAGGTCATCGTGGAATATCACAGTTCAGAGATCCTAGAAGAGTTCATCCAAGAACTCAAGGGAACCTATCTCGAAATAGATATGAACAAAAAGGACGCAGAGGAAGAGCTCGCGGGGATCAAGGAAGAACTCAAACGCTTCATGAACCAGTTCAACAAAGATCCGAAAGGAGCTCATCCCAAGTTGACAGAGTGCGAGAGAGCCTCATTGGCACATGTCGATCCTGATGTCAATCTCGGTGAAGAAGAATTCTACTTCCCTCATCGAGGAGAATGTCCCACCATTGACGAGTACAAGCAAGCTCAACCAGGATCCGGATATCCGATCAAGCTGCCGCTTGGACTGAAGAAGCTCAGGTCACAAGATGACCCGAAAATCATCCGAGCCTATGCCGATATCCTGGGATCGCTGATGCAGCCGACTGACCGTCCTTCCGTGGACTATCTCAACATGCATGAGTTCACCTCATCCATAGGGATCAACATCCTTACCCTGAACCATGGAAACCTCACAAGGAATCCAAAGTTGGACAACAGGGAGGTGTACAACATGCCGATGAAGGATCGACCGATCGTCAAGATGATGATGATGCAGAACAGTGCACACATCTTATGCCTGAATGAGGCAGACGCATTCTTCAGTCCGAATGATGAGAAATCCAGGGAGCTCATCAAGACGTTCATCCGATACGGTTACAAGGGCATTGTGATCAAACAATGGTCATCCAGACCGATCGCATGCTTTGTCCGCGGCGGACCATCTGCAAGAGTGGAGCTTCTGGCAAGACACATTTCCACCAGGAGCCAGAATTGGGGAACCACATTCGGAATGTTCAGATGTTTCTTCGGAACCAAAGAAGATGGCACTGATCCCGAATACGAAATTCCGACCTCGGGCTGCTTGGCAACCACAGGAACATCCATGTTTACCGAATCCAAGAAGTACATTGGATCGAGATTGCCAGCACGCACCATTGTCCAAGGACATGGCCGAGACAAGGAGATCGTCGTTCTCCACATCGAGCAGAGTGATGAGTTTCGTGGCATGATCCCGAAATCATCCGACAAATCATACTACGAGTATGATGACCGCCACATCACGAGGGCAGACTTGCCATTCGCGACCATTGGAGTTTTCCACATCCATCCTTCACTTAGTCATGGAGCAGCAAAAGAAGATCTTCAGAACGAAATCATGCCGCTCGTGACCTTGTACCGATGCGATGCGATCACCGGAGACGCCAACAAATCGGCGAACACCTACAGCAAACTCCAGCATGTCTACAATCCAACCAACGGTCTCGTGAACATCCTCATGAGAGCATATCAGAGATTGTGGAATGCGACGAAGAATTTGCCACTCGTGGACAGAATGGAGTATACGGTGGAGACTTCGTGCACCCTGAAATCCATTGTCCGTCATCACCTGTACATGAAATGCGGATCAGGTTTTGATCGAACATTCCCAGATGTGACGATGACTATTGTATTTGGATGGGGCAAAACGAACATCCAGCAGGACTTCCGGAAGATCGAGATGAACAATATGGATGATGAACAACTGGAATTCATGCGGAACCATCCGAACAAGGCCATTTTCGATTACCAGGTCTCATCCGCAGAGCGCTACAAGCACGTGAGCAATGAAATGTTCATGAACGGCTCGCAGGACTCCGACTCCCACAGTCCTCTCATGGTTTACATCCGCAGCAGATCTGCAACCAGCAAACGCAGCTCTGAGAGATACCAGGATTACGTCAAGAAGAGACAATCCTGGACCACGCAGGAGTACAAGGACTACAACAAGCAGTGGGGATATCAGAAGCAGTGGAAGGACTACAGCAGTTCGACCTGGAATGATTATGGAGACCATGGCAGTCAATCCGACAGCAGTCGCCGATGGTATCGTCGATCCGACTGACCATGAAGATACGTTCAGCACCACGAGCAATCCAGATGATTGATCCTCCTCGTCTACAAGACTATACCATGAGTGAGTGATCAATAGTTTCACAATTGTTCCGCGTGTACATAGCGTTGTACATCACCCTTTGATACAATTAGGTATCCAAAAAGAAGCGTACATAGTGTTTCCTATTTCGAAGGCCAAGACATTTCATCCAGCAGAAAAAGGATGAATCCGGCTCTTTTAATCACATGGCTACGGCACACATTAAGGCTACGGTCAAAGGCCATGAAGCGAATAGTATTTCATACTTTGTGCTGGAGATCAGAAGAAATTTGTGTCTGTTTTGTGTTTTGTTTCTCAGACTATTGATCTCCCGCAACATTTGGCTCAAGGCCCCTTTTGCATAATCACGACCATTCGAGCGTGAGGACAAAAGAGCCATTGCAGGCCGCTTACAGGAGTATCCATCAGACAATCCACCAGGAACAATCCATCCTCCAATCATCCATTACTGGCATATTGGACTCCCTCCAAAATAGATTCAGGGACCAACAACGACCTCAACTACCACAATGTTCCAATTCCCTCCAGGGATAGGCACCTGGGGCAGTGGGCCTCACCCCCCCCCCCCCTGCAGGGAGGATTTCCATAGAGCTCACCGGACCGGACTGGGACTCCAACGGAGCCCGTGACACCGATCCGAGGTCGAGATGAGAAATCACGAGCTAGTTCCAGCCAGAGCCCCAGAGAGCGCAGAATTCCGGACTTGGTTGTCTATATACATACATATACATATATATATATATATATACATATATACATAGAAACATGCACATATGCGTCTATATATATATGTCTATCTACACTGGTTTCCAGTTGACAACTTTGGGTCCAACCCGTTTGGACCGTTTCATGCTGGCAGTTTCCGCATAATGGTGCCGCAACCTGGAACTGAACTAACTGATAGGATTTCTCATGTGAAGAGCATAGAAAGAGCTTCGGGAAGTGATTCTAATTCCGAGTTGGTAGCGTTATCGCCCGAATTGACAAAATGAATTCACAAGTTGGCTCTACCATGATTGTTGGCTTGTCATTCGATGGTTGCTTTCAACCGCCGGCCACACTTTGAAGGCAGTAGACGCAGGGACCGGCAGAAAGCATGAAGATGGCTGTGACGAAGTCGTGCCCGAGCAATGGCAAGGCTCGCGTGTCACACGCAGCCATTTCAAGCGCGCCACACACCACACACTCATGTTAAACAACTAGAAAGTCGTAGGCGCGCTGCAATGCCACCACCACATAGAATTTCCACGCGGATTACTGTACGGCGGGTGAAGACAGGTACGGGCATGCCGGCATGAGGCAAACGCAGGCATGCGCACAAGCAGGGACACAGGCACACATTGAGAGAAGCAAACTGAGACTGACAAACACACAGACACACAGACACAGACACACACAGACACAGACACAGACACAGACACAGACACAGACACAGACACAGACACAGACACAGACACAGACACAGACACAGACACAGACACAGACACAGACACAGACACAGACACAGACACAGACACAGACACAGACACAGACACAGACACAGACACAGACACAGACACAGACACAGACACAGACACAGACACAGACACAGACACAGACACAGACACAGACACAGACACAGACACAGACACACAGACACACACACACACACACACACACACACACACACACACACACACACACACACACACACACACACACACACACACACACACACACACACACACACACACACACACACACACACACACACACACACACACACACACACACACACACACACACACACACACACACACACACACACACACACACACACACACACACACACACACACACACACACACACACACACACACACATATATATGGGCATAACGGCGCACTGAAATACACAGAGAAACATAGGTACGGCCGGCAGTCGGAGCATGGGGATGCATGTGTAAATGATGAGTTCCAATGTGAGAGGGAAAGCGTTGAGGTGGCGTCGCTGTTCCTTGCTGAGCTCAGCTACTGTGCCCTTGCAAGCGCTCCTTGGAGAGAAGCATTCTAAAAGGGGGGCGTTTTTGTGGCGCGCATCAAAACTAGGTTTGGTTGTGTGGCCAATTTCAAGTGTAGACAGGCCAGAACCTCCAAAAGTTGCAGTTTGTTTTCAGTAGACACCACCAGTAACAAGGCTTCTTAAAAGATACATTTTGTTCATTTGAAACATGGCTTCTTCCAAAACAAAGGGAAACCGCCATGTAGAAGGCAATGCTCAGGTGTTTCTATTGTAAGGATCTTTGAGTAAGTTGAACTTTTGATTTGGGGGACATCCAGTGGCCCCTGCTGACCTTCCCGAAAGACTCGGTCTGTCGCGCCTGGCGCCTGCGCCTCGCTGGCGCCTCAGGATTGGGCAGACATGGCCGTGATGGCCATTGTGCCCACGGGGCACCTTGGGGCGCAAGGGATCCTGAAAACCTGGGCGGGGGGGTGGGGGGGGGTGGGGGGAAGGGAAGGTGGGGGGTGGGGGGGGGGTTGGGTGGGGGGTGGGGGGGGGTTGGGTGGGGGGTTGGTGGGGGGGTTGGGGGTTGGGGGGGTTGGGTTCAGGGGTGTCTTTCTGCCACCTTTCGTGCGAAAATTGGCGACCCCCTCAAAAAGGAATCCTTCACGGCGAGGGGGTCGATCATTTTTCCGCGAAGGGTGGCAAAAAGCCCCCCTCGGTTGGGTTGGGTGGCAGGGGGGGGGGGGAAGAGGGCGTTGCCATCAAAGAGCGTGATCATGCGTGATCCACGTGTTTTTTTTGCCAGGGAGCTATGGTTTCAGTCATTCCATTCACCTCAAAAAGGGTAGTCTATCAAGAAAACGCGGCTAATTCGTTTGGTTTTGGTTGGTTAGGGCGGACTCCCCCCAAAAGAACGATGCCCTGACGGGACTCGCTCGCGGCTATTGCAGCAAGTCGCCAGCCGCCAACGCCTTCCAAGGAGCGGCGGAATCAGCGAGGCGGCCGTGGCGAAGACTGGACAAGGCGCTCGCTCTCCGCCATGTGAGACTTCGATTTTGGCTCTTCCATTGCTGAAATGAATGTATTCTCTCTATATATATATATATATATTGGTTTTGGAGGGAATCGATTTCACCACCGTAAATGTTTTCGCACCTTTTCCGGGTGGGAGTAAGCAACTGGACGTTTTGGAGTTGTTGCCCCCTTGCTTGTGGTTTTTGGTCACCAAAAGGTTTCGCCACTATTTTGGGAGCCGCCTCAAAAACAGAGACGCCCATTTCCGCTGTGTCCAGAAAGGTGACTGTTTTGGGGTCAGAAAAGGTGCTGGTTAGCAGGGATGCGCTTGAGGCTTTTCTGTGGAACCTCAAGTGGCAGTTTCTTTCAATGGAAACCACCTGTGATTTGGGAAATCCAGTGACCCCTGTCCTCTGGGATTTCATTTGCGGTTCCGTGTCCCCCTTTAATTGAGAGAAATTGGGAGACCCCTTTCCCAGAGATGCGGGCAACAGAAGTGCCTAGAGAGATGGCTGAATATCTAAGCTCTGATTCCTGGCTGTATCCTTGTTTTGGGGACAGTGAGTTGTCGGTGCTCAATGAGGCTTGTACTTAGCAGCGCAGCATCTAGAATTTCTTGAGAGTTCGCTTGGCATTGGGTCATTGGGTCCAGAGCTCTTTTTCGAGGTCGCACAAATCTCGCCTCTGATCTGCGGGGAAGAAACGACAAAAGACACGGGGCTCTTTTTCGAGGTCGCAGAAGTTTCGCCTCTGATCTGCGGGGAGGAAACGACAAAAGACACGGGGCTCTTTTTCGAGGTCGCAGAAATCTCGCCTCTGATCTGCGGGGGAAAAAAGAGAAAGAAGAACAAAGAAACCAAGGAAAAAAGACAAACACAAGGGGTAGAAAGCAGAATCTACGTCAGCCAACACGGGGGAGAAGAAAACAAACGCCACGTCATTCTGCATGTAACGTGGCGCAGGCTGGTTCGTCATTCTGCAGGGTTTGCGTGTGGCAATGGATCTCATGGACCTGTTGAGCCGGGGACCCAGGCCTCGAGGAGCTCAGCTCTTGAGATGAAAAACCAAAATCCATGCGGATGGACGAAATCCGCTTAGGCACCACTTTGAAGCCATGAGGAGCCAATATTAATATATGTTTTTGTACTTACAGGGGAATCAACATTTGAGGCTTTGTTAGGTGGTGCAGGATTTCGTCCATCCATAGTCATATGGCCATGAATGTTCATGAACCATCTCAAAACTAGAATGGGTGGGTCATGACTCCCAAGCTAAATTTGATGTCCACCAAAGGGTGCCTTATGGGGGTTGCTCAAAAGGTCCGTAATACATGGAATGACCATTTGTTGGGAAACACCACCAAAAAGATGATATTGTCCCACATTCGAAAAGTGATCCATGGTCAAACCCCAAAACCCCAAAACCCTAAACCCTAAAACCCTAAAACTCTAACCCCTAAAACCCTAAACCCGTTACTATAACCCCCGCCCCCCCCGCATTTGCAAAGGATCGAGCCAGTTTGTTCGGCAAATTTGTCCACGCAGCTGAGCGCCCGAGGGCGGACTCAGCTTGAGCTTTCACAGGGCTTCGTGGAGGTCCCAGGCGTCTAGCAGGTAGTTGCAGTGTCTTTGGGTTTTTACCCCCCTTCTTCTTTGCGTTCTTCCTTTTTTTTAAAGGAAGACACGTAAACCACCAGGACCTCTAAAAGTTGACTCCTTGTCCATTCTTTTCAGCCATCGTTCTTTTCAAAAATCAGCCTAGGGTTTTTGGTGGTTTTCTAGAAACAAGGATTAGTAAATGTTGACCCCGGATTAATACACCCCTGTTTATTGGTTGTTCCCCTCCAAAAGTGATCAATCCTAAACTAAAACCCGGGACACACCCATATTAATAAACAGGGGTATATTAATCCGGATTCAACAAAACTCCTATGGTTGTCAGCCCCCCCCAAGAGGGGACCCCCTGGAAACGGTTCCCATTGGGGGACACCCCACAGATCCCCAGGTTCTTGGTCTGACCCAGAAATTCCCCCGTACACCAAACAAGTTGCTGGGGGGTCAACAGCACATAGTTCGGGCCCAAATTTGATTAGGACCCGGGTAATACTTATAAGTTATATCGGTACTGTGGATGGACGAACTCCGCGGCACCACTTTGAAAGCATGTGAAGCCACTGTTAGTTGGTATTTACAGTGGAATCATTATTCCAGGTTTGCGTAAGTGGTGCAGGATTTCGTCCATCCACAGTATCACAAAAAACAAGCCTGAGATTGTTCAAAAACTCTTAGGGAATGAGGGCGCTAAGCGCCTTTGGGCACCTGTTGAGCATGATGGGCTGGCAATGGCTTGTGTTTGAGTTGGTTTCTTTCAGCCGCGGGGGTCCAGCGTTTTGTTTGTGTTTTTCTGTGGACAGAACCAGTGTTTCTTGTTCTTTCTCGGTTTTGGTGAGTGGACCCAACAATTTATCATAGTTGGTGATACAGGTGTCACCCCCCAAAAACAGCAAGCGGCAGAGAGTACTTGCCATTGCTCAGCCAAGAGTGAAGGGCTGCCCCAGGCCCCTAGGGTCGTACCCCACTCTGACATCCTGTGGATGGATGAAATCCATTTCGCACCACTTGAGAACACCTGGAATGATTCCCCTGCAAAAATACCAAGTAACAGTGGCTTCACATGGTTTCAAAGTGGTGCCGCGGATTTCGTGCATCCACACCTCATTGGCGATATGCCAATGACAAGAGTGTTTGATCAGCTCGCTGAGGTGTTCGAGGTTGCCTGCGCAATGATTTGGGCCAATCCTTTGCCATGGCCCACGAGGGCGATTGCACCATTGGAGAGGGGGCGCGCTTTGGCCGCAGGATGGGTTTTGGCCCACCGATTTGTCTCCCCATGTTGATGCGCTGTGAGTGTGTGCGTGTTGTTGTTTTTTTGTTGTGTGTGTTTTTGTGTTTGTGTGTGTGTGTGTGGGTGCGTGTGTGTGTGTTACCAAAAGGGGAGGTTGGCGAAAGTAGAGTGTTGGAGTTGTGAAATGCAGGTATGCGACGGTCTACCACATGCAGGCCCGGTGCTTTATTCTCACATTCGTCCATGCCAGAACCTGTTTTCCGGCTTCAGGCGCGTGATGGTCGTGCAGTGGCTGCTGCTGGGCTTAGACGGGAGCTGCTTTTCCGGTCTACCATTTTTGGCAACGTCCTGTTGAAGGCCGCTTAGGAGAGTTGCCACAAAGGCACCTCAAACTCCGCTGTGACATTGACGGAGTGGCGACGCCATTCAAGGTAAAGCAAATGAACTACACCACCGACTACGAGTCCATAGCTAGAGAGGTGCTGACCTCGGCAGAAAAGAGAGCAGAGCAGCAGCCGCCCCCCCCCCCCTGCGGTTTTTAGGGCCAATGGTTTTGTCGGACCTTTGCCTTGAAGGTCCACAAAGCTTCCGCGTTTTAACATTCGCACAGCTTTTTGGACGGTGTGGACATGGTTAAAAAAAGAGATCGTGGTTGGGGGGGTGCTGGATGAGAATTTGTTTCACCCTCTTCGAAGCAGAAGTGAATCGGTGCGGCGAACTTGCGGCAAGGTTTGCTAAGCAACCCGCTGGTTCAGCTGTGGTTCAGCTGGCCGGTTTTCAGGTCGCCAAGAATCCTGGGTCCCTGGGTGACTGTCTTTCAACCTCTTTCTCTGCTTTTCTCCCGCTCTCCCCTTCTCTCGCTCTCTCCCTCTCTCACTCTCGCTCGCTCTCTCTCTCTCTCTCTGCTTTTCTTGGTGGTTCCCAGCCATCCCCTTAGCTTTTTAGCCTTTTAGTGTTGAGTGGTAGTTTCCATGTAACCCACCAAAAGTTAAACTTTTCGCGGGGGATCTGAGGGCGCCCCAGTTTTGTATTCTCTCGCCTGTTTGGGCACCTCAGCGGGTCCTTTCGGGTGATATCCTACTTTCTCCCTCGCTTTTCATAGGTCCGTGGAATCCTCGAAAAAGGGGTGTGTGTGTGTGTGTAAGAAAACGCCATGGGCAAGGGGGCAATTGAGCCAAAACGCCATGTAGGGTCAGGTTTTTGGGAAGGGGCAACCAGGCCTTTTCTTGTTTTGTTTTGGGGCGGAGCCTTCCCAATTTTTCATTACATGGGTGTTTCGCTTGTCCCTGCCCAGCGTTTGACACTCATAGTTTCCGCCTTTCTCATAGCGGACCTCAAGAAATGGTATGTGTCCTTCCTGTATCTCTTTCAAACCATACCATGGTTGTTGTTGGGAAACATTTCATGTTTTTGCTTATTGTGGCTTAGTGGGAAATCCCCTTTTAACTGCCCAAAAAAAAAATGTTGCTCCCCTTCCAACGTCAACCGCTCTTGGTATTTGAGACGTACCCATGTGTGGTCACATGACCCCTTCACTTCAGGATTTGACATTTCGTAATTCCGAGACCGTAGGCCATATGCGGTTCTTTTGGCAAGCGTGTTTCCCTTTGCTTGGTGGTTTCCATCCCCTTGGATGTTTCGCATTTTAGGCTTTAGTGGTTGGATTTCCATTTAATCCGCTAAAAGTTATTCACTTTAGCTTGTTTTTTTCACGCCCCAAGCGTGTTTGTTTCCTTGCTTGGTGGTTTCCATCCCCTTGAAGATGTTTAGCATCTTAGGCTTTAGTGGGGGTTTCCATTTAATCCGCGAAGAGTTAAACACCACTAGCAGGGGATCTTTCCTTCACCCGACTAAGAGCTAGTCACTTGAGCAGGGGGTCTGAACAGTTTGGTTCCCTTTGGTCGCCTTTATTCTTCAAATGTTTTCATTTTTTTGGGGGGGGAGGGCCTAGTTGGGTGGTTTCGATTGTATGGTTTGGATAAGAAGTGGTCTCCCATTGACCCTCTACAAGAAAATTCGGGTTCCAATCCGCCCATCCGAGCCAATCAAGGGTTGATTTTCGGTTGGTTCCCCGTGAAACACAGCCACAAGTCTAGGGGTACCTTCGCCATTCTTTCCAGGTTTCTGAAAAATTCTCAATGAACCCAGGCAAACCGGCCAGGCTTTTGAAAAGAACGATGACTTGAAAAGAATGGTTGGAAGGTACCCCTAGAACGAAGGGAAGTCCCCCAGTTGTGCCCTTTCTCACCCCGATTTTTTTTGGTTGGGAGTACTAAGATAGACCACAAAAAAAAGAAGAGAGAAAAACCGGTACCCTTATTCTAACCTCTCTACTGGAGGACCTAGAACCTGAGGGTTTTTGTATTGCTCCCTGGGATTACACCCTTGGGAAATGACCCAGAATGGCTCAAAATAACGCGGTTTTATCCCGGCATGTGCCTAAATGGGGTCAATATCCAGTGGGTGTATTCCCAGGGTGTAATACAAAAACCCTCAGATAGAAACCCACAAAGGAAAGTCCTCGACGAACCGATTCGAATTTGAAGACCCGAAGCAAACCCGAGGTGAGCGCCTTGGTGGAGGTCCAAGGAGACCACATCATTGGATTCAGGGGCATTTTCTGGTCCATGGAGCAGGACCCGAGGAACAACGCACTTCCAGTTGTTTGTGTGTGTTTTCCCCAGTTTTTGTTTTTTAGGAATCGATCACTACTGGAAATGGTTGTTTAAGTTTTTGTTTTTTAAATTTATTTATTGTTCATTTCCCCCGTTTTTTTTAAAGGAATCAATCACTACTGGAAATAGTTGTTTAAGTTTCTGCTTATCTATTTATTATTGTTTTCCCCTGTTGATATGTTGTTTTTTCTTAAAAGGAGCCTATCACTACTGGATTTATTATTATTATTGTTATTATTATTATTATTAATTATTATTATTATTGGTATTATTATTATTGTTATTATTATTATTATTATTATTATTATTATTATTATTATTATTATTATTATTATTATTATTATTGTTATTATTGTTATTATTATTATTATTATTATTATTATTATTATTATTATTATTATTATTAATAATATATATATATATATATATTTGGGGGGGGGCTTAAGCAAATGGAAGTCAACATCGAAAGGGTGGCCCGGTGGCCCGAAGAAAAAACATGAACCTCTTGCTGTTGGATGATTTGTTGGCGGTTCGGGCCATTCTTTGTGGTGACTCTGTGTGTGTGAAACCTGTTGTGGTGCTCATCATTTGCCACATGTTGCCACCAATGCAGGCAGCCGTGTGTGTGTGTGTGTCTGTGTGTCTGTGTGTTTGTGTGTCTGTGTGTCTGTGTGTCTGTTTGTCGGTGCTTTTTTGTGAAAGCTTTGGTAGTGCTCATCATTTGCCACATTTTGCCCACCAATGCAGGCAGCCGTGTGTGTGTGTGTGTGCGTGTGTGCGTGTGTGCCTGCGTGCGTGGGTGGGTGGGTGGGTGGGTGGGTGGGTGTGCGTGCGTGTCTCTGTGTGTGTCTCTGTGTGTGTCTCTGTGTGTGTCTCTGTGTGTGTCTCTGTGTGTCTCTGTGTGTGTCTCTGTGTGTCTCTGTGTGTGTCTCTGTGTGTGTCTCTGTGTGTGTCTCTGTGTGTGTCTCTGTGTGTCTCTGTGTGTGTCTCTGTGTGTCTCTGTGTGTGTCTCTGTGTGTGTCTCTGTGTGTGTCTCTGTGCTCTGTGTGTGTCTCTGTGTGTGTGTCTGTGTGTGTCTCTGTGTGTGTCTCTGTGTGTGTCTCTGTGTGTGTGTCTCTGCGTGTGTCTCTGCGTGTGTTTCTGCGTGGGTCTCTGCGTGTGTCTCTGCGTGTGTCTCTGCGTGTGTCTCTGCGTGTGTCTCTGTGTGTGTTTCTGTGTGTGTGTGTCTCTGTGTGTGTCTCTGTGTGTCTCTGTGTGTGTGTCTCTGTGTGTGTCTCTGTGTGTGTGTCTCTGTGTGTGTCTCTGTGTGTGTGTCTCTGTGTGTGTGTCTCTGTGTGTGTCTCTGTGTGTGTCTCTGTGTGTCTCTGTGTGTCTCTGTTTGTCTCTGTGTGTCTCTGTGTGTCTGTGTGTCTGTGTGAAACCTGTTGTGGTGCTCATCATTTGCCACATTTTGCCACCAATGCAGGCAGCCGTGTGTGTGTGTGTGTGTCTGTGCGTTTGTGTGAAACCTGTTGTGGTGCTCATCATTTGACACCAATGCAAAAGCTGCTACTCTGCCTGAGTAGCAGCTTTTTTCCCGGTGTCAGCGTGCGGCTGCTGCCCAATAGGGCTCTCTCCCGATAAGTGGACTCAGAATTGGTTGTTTTCCTTTTGGTATATTTTTCATTGTCCGAAAGCTCGAATGTTTGAACCTCAGGTTGACCTGTGGTGAATATTGTAAAGCATAGTGAATGCTGGGGCTGACATGGTTTGCATCCTATCCAGAATCCCAAGTGAACATTGGCAGATGTGTTGCATATGTATCGGACAAGGATTTTGGAGGCCATGCGATTGGAAGCATCACTTGTCATTTGCATGAACCTTCCCCCGAATTAGTTCCCCTTTTTGTTGTTTTGCATTTTTGGGGTTCCCTTTGTTTTCCACTGACCATGCAAAATATAGAAATATATATATATATATATATATATATATTTGCCTGCCGAAGCTCTTCTCGTGCTCCCGGACTCGCCTACTCGCCAGGAACACATTCGCTTTACCGCAATTTTTGACCTGGCGCCCTGTGGGGACCTTCTCTTCAAGGCGAGGCTGTGCCTTCGATTCGTGGTTTCCTCAGTTGTTCAGTGGCACGCATTCTTTTTCCAACTTTTTTTTGGGTGGCTGCCCCACTAAAAATGGTCTTCCGCAAAAATGGTTCCCTTCTTTTTGTAGGGTCACTGAACAACTGAGTTTCCTTGGCTCTGAGATTCCTTCAACGCACATCCGCCACGGCCGGCCAGATCCTGAAAAACGGAGCAATGACTGAAGCGACTGCTCGGCCGCTCTTTTCAGGCCTCTTGGAGCGTGGATTCATTTGACTGCTTGGGTTCGATAATTTTTGTTTCTTCCAATCTCTGTGTATGTGGGTGGGTGGGCATGTTGGGTGGGTGTGAGTGCGAGAGTGTGGTTTTGTGGGTGCGGGTGTGGGTGGGTCCTTGGATTGTGCTGATCCCAGGAATTTTGCGTGGATTGAAGAGGATCCACGACCATGATTTAGCCCGGCCCTTAACGTCCAACTGCCAGCCGCAAGTCAGTGATTGTGTTTATATCCGAGTGAAAAAGCAGGTTGCAAACAAAAGCATGCGTCAGGAGTGCCTCGTCGTTCATCCTCTTTCGGCCTTTGTTTTTGGCCCGCCAGCGCAACTCGTTTGGCTCTTGGCTCTTCTTTCTTGGGCTGTCCTCAGATCCCTGCTAGAAGCCTAACTTTTAGTGGGTTAAAGGGAAACCCATACTAACCCCTAAAAAGCTAACAACCTACTGGGACGGCTGGGAACCGCCAAGACCAGTTTTGAGCTTTTTGGTTGTTAAACAACTTCGCGAGGTGCATCGGGACATCAAGACGGAGAATATTTTACTCCAGAAGGGAAACATCCCGATGGTCGCCGACTTTGGGCCGCTGAGGATATTTATTCAGACAAGTGTGGGATGTAGAGAATCTCAGGACCCCCCCCCCCCCCGCAGTTAAGAGGAAGGGAAGCCACAAGGAGCCACCCAGTTTTGACACCTTCGACACATTCCCATCGCGTTCGAGAGGTTTGCCGTGCCGACTTTGACAAAGTTCCTTCCATGGCTGAATGTTTGGTGTGACAATGGTCAATTCTCGGACACAGCAACCCTGGAACATCCAACGACTGGGCAAATTTGAGTGAATCCTTGCAGAAAACTGCCATCATTGTCTTGACTCTGCCAGCCGAAATGGCTCAGGCTGGCTTGCAAAGTATGGGATGAGCAGCAAATGGCCCGCAGATGTGGGTCTGCTGGCTTTGTGGCTCCAGAGGCGAGACTTTCGACTCGACTGACAGGAAAACTATAGTTGCGTTTGCATCCACCAACCCCTTGCCACTGGTTTCGGGTAACTGCGGGATTTCCGACACTCGTTCGACATGTTGGCTCAAGAGAAAGGGTTGCGCTGCTTTTTTGCCCTGGTTTCCCATCCGTAGCTTATGCGCCCAGGCTGCTGAGCTTGGGCCATGGACAGGAGGAGACACGGGAGTCAGAAGGTTGGGGACTTCCGGGCAAGAAGCGCGGCTAGAGCTGCGAGAGCTTTCAGGAGACCGAAGTTGGTTAAGGACATGTAGGTCATCATCATCGTTGAATGGCTGTCGCCCTTGTGGATCGCGAACAGCCGCACGGCGGCCGCCGCAGCAGCCAGCGGCAAAGCAGCTAGCAGCCGAGGCGGCCGTTGTCCTGGCATGGACGGGTTGTCCTGACAGGTGGCAGGTGAAACAAGGACCTGCGTGGCTATGGCGCCTCACCGAGGAGGCATGCATGCAATTTTTGTTCTCCACTGATTCACCTAAGGCGAGCCAGCATCTCATTGCCGGCGCGAGCCGGCGGTAACCGCTCCAGCGGTCATCCTAACCAACAAAGGTGTGCGGCCTGCCAAATCTGACAGACCCGAAGCCACCGTTCAGCTAGTCTGAGGCGTGTGCCTGGCCTGCCAAAGCTGACAGACTCTTTCAGCTAGCAAGCCAGGCCCTGTCCTGGGCCAGGGATCCAACCCTAAGCCAGCCAAGTCGAGCCGTGGTTGGGCAGCCGGGAATTTCCAATGCTGTGCCAAAATACGGGCATTCGGCTATGTGTGTGAATGAGCCCACCTCAGCACCGCAGAGGGAGCATGCCTGAGAATCTCGCTGTCCGGAGCAGGAGAGCCAGGCATCCGAGACCACTGATGCAAGCAAAACTGCCCTGTGGCCTGGTCCGTAACCAAGGGCCTCCCGAGTGGCCTTATGGTTAATGCATCCAAATCTTCGCCGCATCTCGAAAAGAGATCTATCTGTCTTCCGCTTCGTGTCTCCCTGACCGCAGAAAATCCTCGTACGCTCTTCGCTTATACTGAGCTCGGATGGCGTGCAGCTGTGCTTGGAGCTGATCATCTTGCCGTGTCTGCCTCACATCAAGGACATGTAGGTCAATGTCGACTTGGGGCTTGGCGCCAAGGAAATGACAGCAACTACATGACATGGCACAAATGTGGCAAGCCCGGCCACTGGGCAGATGACTATGGAGGTGAGCTACACCAAGTTTACCTTTGTGAGGTCCTGCTCGTGGATGGTGGTCAGAAGCATGATTCTCGGGAAAGGCGCCTCAGAGATCCACGGGAAGAGAAGGGAGCTCTGCGATGGCTCAATGGCCTGAACGGCAAGCCGCTGCCACGCGGAAAAGGAAAGGCAAAGCAGGTTTAACTGATTGAAAGGGCAAGGCAGCTCTGACTTTCCTGATGAAGCTTTTCCGGAGTGGCATCCAGGTGGACGTCTGGTGAACCTTTCCTCGGGAGCCCGGTGGCAAGCCAGCTTTTCCTCGAAGGTCGGCGGATCGGATGTTCTCTGAGAAGGAAGCTTGCAGATGGATGAGCGTGGTGACGTGGGTTCATAGTGCTGGCAAAGAATCCTCAGCAACCTCAACAACAGCAACTCTGCGAGGAGGCGGCGGGCGACTAATGAATAGAAACCCGGTGACTGGGCCGACAAGTCTCCCTCCAGGTGGAGCCACCATCGTCCTTCCAACGCTGTCCGGGGTCGCAACAGTGACGTGGCTCAACTGCCGGACGGTTTTTGAGGGCTGGGCGCGCTTCAAGCTCTACACCGCATTCCAGCCGGGCGGAGCAACGAAATGATGGTGGTGGGGGGGAAAAAGCGTAAAACGGGGGTCTCATTTCAACTTGCGCTACCCATGCGTGTTCCACATCTCGACTCCGATTTCGGAGGGCTCGAGGTTTGACAAGGAAGCAGTTGTGGCTGGAGGGCGTTGCCCTTTGCAACAGGGACACTGCGTTGCTGAAGCAGACGGAGGTTTGGCTGAAGCGCGAAGAGGCAAGAGAGGACATGTAAAAGAGCACGCCCGCAGCTTGCGACCACGCACCTGACCGACGGGCGCCGCAGCCAAGAGAGGGCGGCGGCATTTTCTGCCACCACCTCGCCAAGATGGACTTGGAGGGGTGGAAGAAGCCTGAACCAGCAGCGTGCGCCGTTCAGGCAAGAGGTGATGCCAGAGCACAAGATGGGCACCTTGCAGCCCCACAAGAAACAGAATCGAAGTGAACCCGCAAGAGTGCCACGGAGCTCGACGCGGAAGTCGCGAGAGAAAAAGGATGAAAGGGTCGAAGAAGAACTTGAACGACCGTCGCAATGTGACAATGGCAGATGTTCTTGACAGAGGACACTCTGGAAGCGCTGTCGAAGATCCAAGCGCGGATGAGGCCCTTGTCGTGCCGATCATCCGACAGAGATCGAGCGAACCGCTGGCGCTTGCAAGACAGCTGTGGCAGACCATGACTTTAGGCGACGAAGCGCCGGCAAAATTAGTGCCACTAGCAGTGCCGGCGAAGTAGCCGAGCTTCCAACACTCGCTCGACGTGGTGGCTCAAGAACACAGGGTTGCAGCGCTAGTGCTGCTTTTTACCCTCCGCGGAAACCAAGGGACGCCCTCATGTAGAAATCCTCGTGTTTGCAAGAGCTTTATCCCAACACCCCCCCCCCCCCACCACTGCTTTGCGGACAGTACTTGAGAATTCAAGCGTGGGAGAAAGCAGTTGGCACGGTCCCCAAAAGATTGCTTCGGCTGTCAAAGGTCAAAGCTATAGGGTTTCCCGATGGGGTTCACGTTGTCAGGTGTGCCTGGGCACTCCTTACGCGGCTTGGCCCGATGAGAACCGGTACCCCACTTGGCCTGCTGGCACCCGGGCGCACTCTCTAGCAAAGGCTCCTCCCCTTTCGGAACTGACCGCGTCTGAGGATAGCAAGGTGGACAACTTTGGCGCAGGCCTGGCTTGGCCACGCGGTCTTGAGACTCGCGCCGGCCACAGCTCTTGTTTTGCTTGTTTTTCTTGAGGGTGCCACCTTTTGGGATGGTTCTAAAGGAAGACGAAAAGGGAGTACCGCCACATTTGAACATGGGTTGAATCTCTACAGAAACATGCTTTTGCTATTGGCAAGCCGTGTGCTCCCTACCCGGCCCCTCCCCCCTGGTGTGGCTCCAAAACTTGCACAACTGGGACAAAGCGCTGGTTTTAGTCGTTGTGTCTGTGAAGGTGCCAAGGTGTCATTTTGCGGATTCCATATGCCAAAAGGTATGGGGCAAAATTAAACCACCAGGCTGTGGGCCGCAGATGTTTCCTCCATGATTCCACCCATTTTTTGAGGGGTTACCCTTTTTTTGGGACTGGCCAGGCGTTATTCTCTTTTTCCTGCTGAGCAAAGAGATGCCCTTCAGCAGCCCGGACCGGGACTCCGCAGCCACCATGCGGAAGACCGTGAAGTGTTGGCCTCGGTTGGGCGTTTGCGGGTGCGGTTGCGGGCAGGAAAATTTGGTTGTTGCTGGGAAACATAAAGCATTTTTGCTCAGGGTGATTTAGTGGTTGAAATCCAACCACTTAACTGCTAAAAAGATTAATTTGTTGCTCCCTTCCAACGTCAACCAAGGAAAGGGTAGCCTCACAGTCAGAACATTGAGGGTTTGGGAAACGGCCTAGTAGCCGGAGCTTATATGGGTGTCTCCAAATCCCTACACTTATTTTGTGTGTGCCCTCAAGCACCATCCAATGTGGTTGGCCTCGCATGCCGCTCTGAGCACCTGACGATGTGATCAGTCTATTGCTAGAGAGGACAAGAAGCAGGGCCACACGAGCGACAGGCGAATCCAATGTTCCGAGGTGCAGCTTGCATCTTCAGCGTCCGCCGTTCAATGAGATGACTAGCCGATTGAGAGCCGCAGTCGCAACTCATTGGATGTGGGCATTCGTCAAGCCAATGTCGATGTGGGGGTTGATCAAAAGGTCCTTTACATGGGGTGACCATTGCGGAAGCCACAAAAAAATCGACTTTCAAAAACTAAATGGGCCAAGTTTGTCATGGTGAATTTGGGACCAATAACTAGACCACGGTTGGCCGAAAGCATAACATCGCAAGCGAGGTCGGCCCAACGCTGCAGGATGCGTTCTTTTTCCCTCCACGAAGCATTTGTGAAGCAAGCGCGAGACAGCACCAGGCAAGGTGCTCTGCGCAAACTGGTCGGTGCAAGTTGGTCTGTGCAAGTTGCTCTGCGCAAGTTGCTCCGCGCAAGTTGCTCCGGCAAGTTGGTCCCTGCAAGTGGCTCCCTGCAAGTTGCTCTGTGCAAATTGCGCTCCCTGCAAGTTGCTCTGTGCAAGCTGCTCTGTGCAAGTTGCTCTGTGCAAGTTGCTCTGCGTAAGTTGCTCTGCGCAAGTTGCTCTAGGCAAGGCGCTCTGCGCAAACTGGTCGGTGCAAGTTGGTCTGCGCAAGTTGCTCTGTGCAACTTGCTCTGCGCAAGTTGCTCTGCGCAAGTTGCTTCAAAATGCAAGTTGCATCTTGCGACGCCCGCCCGCGGACCAGGGAGGAATCGAACCCGCGACCCGCCGGCCCGGGAGCAGGCGCGCGAACCACGAGACAACTTTCGAGGACCAGTTCGAACAACAAAAGTCGCAAAAAACCTCGAGTTTTTGCACCTCGACCACGCCGATTCCCGCAGAGCGTTGCGCGGGCACCGCAGAAATCGCAAAAAATCCTTGAGTTTTTGCACCTCGACCACGCCGATCCCCGCAGAGGGTCCCGCGGGAACTTTAGAAATCGCAAAAAACCTCGAGTTTTTGCACCTCAACCACGCCGATCCCCGCAGAGGGTCGCGCGGGAACTTTAGAAATCGCAAAAAACCTCGAGTTTTTGCACCTCGACCACGGAGCACCGCAGAAATCGCAAAAAACCTCGAGTTTTGCACCTCGACCAGGCCGATCCCCGCAGAGGGTCGCGCGAGCACTGCAGAAATCGCAAGAAACCTCGAGTTTTTGCACCTCGACCACGCCGATCCCCGCAGAGGGTCGCGCGGGAACTTTAGAAATCGCAAAAAACCTCGAGTTTTTGCACCTCGACCACGCCGATCCCCGCAGAGGGTCGATTTTCGTGTAGTGTCGTCGGCACTACCCCGCCGCCCTAAGAAGAGATTTTAACTCCTCGCAAGTCAATTGCACTTGGCTCCTTGCACTTGCAACTTGCACTTGACTCCTTGCACTTGCAACTTGCACTTGACTCCATGCACTTGCAACTTGCACTTGACTCCTTGCACTTGCAACTTGCACTTGGCTGCTTGCACTTGCAACTTGCACTTGACTCCATGCGCTTGGCTCCTTGCAGCTCGCAATGACTCTCATGACTCCTTGCAATGACTCCTTGCAATGACTCCTTGCAATGACTCCTTGCAATGACTCCTTGCAATGACTCCTTGCAATGACTCCTTGCAATGACTCCTTGCAATCCTTGCAATGACTCCTTGCAATGACTCCTTGCATTGACTTTCATGATGATGATTCCTTGCAATGACACCTTGTAATGACTCTCATGAGAACAACTCAAGTGAACCCAGCGGAAGAACCCTTCGCCACGCTTTCGGGAATATAAACAACCATGTAGCAAAAGCAGTGCGTCCTTGCGGCTGACACCTAAAGGCATCGTTCTCTTTTTCCACGTGGCTTTTCATTGAGGTGAGGCTAAACACCAAAAAATATGTTCAAGAACATGGAGAAGCCCTCGAACTTGGAATGCCCTGCCCTACATCCTATTGCTCGGTCGGGGTTTGTTTCGCCGGCTTGCTTCGAGGCCGAGGAACTGGGAGCTGGAAAAGGGTCGGTTGCTGTTGGTTCGAACTGGTAACTAGTAAATGGAGCCAACGCTTCAAATCTCTAATTGGATTCATGAAATCTCTAGGTATTAGTTGGATTCATCAAATTTCTCGAATTGCCTATGCTTCATTAATTTTCATTCAGACTTGGTTGTTGCATGAGCATGAAGATAATCAAAGATTGGCATAGCTCTGGCTTGCCCACTAGGTTTAAACTGTTTTTCTTTTCTTTTTTCTGTTTTTCCCCCCGAAGTTTTTTTCAGGTTTTCAGGATTTGTTTTTCATCCTGGATGACAATTGAACTGTTGTGGCATAGGGGATTCTCTAAATTTGCATGCCGCACTAGCAGAAGGGCACATTAAGGGCACGCAGTCGCCCAGGAAATATGCTGCGGCAGCCTCTCGACGGCAGGAGCTTTCAATTTGCGTTTCCTCGCAGAGAGGCTCTTCTGTGGAAGGCTGAA